ATTTTAGATGAAAATCAGCCTGGAGATGGAGGACTCCAAGTTAGGAGCAAGGTGATGTAGGTGGGAGCACAATGGCTGCCTTAAGGGAAGCTTCTGGTTATTTAATAGAAAGACAACTCTCTGTGCCTCAGTTTCCACTTTTAAAACAGAAGGTGGTGTGGGTGGACTAAAGGGTTCCAAGGTTCCATCAGCTCTCAAGTCTGGGATTCTTATCAACTGGAATTACTTCCAGAATTAGCCTCATCTTTCCAAATACTTTCTCTTCCTCATCTTTCAGAAGCTTCTCCCATAAAATCCAAATCTTACTGCAGAAAGTAACCCCTTAGCTACGCATCCTGGATGTGGCTGGCAGCCTTCACCATGGCTGGGGCAGAGATGGAGCTCCTTTGGAATCATGAAAACCTCTTAGTCTAAAAGTGGTATTGGGCTTTTTTTTTTTTAAAAAATTAAAATGCATTTAATGAATTGGTCTTGACATAAAAAGCTGAGAATCCCTATCCTTGAAGGCAAGGGTCCAAGTCTAGGAGCTTGGTTAAGATCTTTTAAGCCCAGTGTGTGGTGTAGACAAGCGTGAATGCTGCAGGTGGGGGCACGTACAAAACTCCATGGACTTCTGAGAAGGTATGGAAGTGGGAACCTGCCTATCCTGGTTCCTAAGAGAAATCCAGTACAACCCAGGAAGGATCCAGACTTCCTCAAGATGGGCATTGGCTATAGGAGGGCAGATATTTATCCTCAAGGTCTGAGCCCTGGCTCCAGCTTGGGTATCAGCACAGACTCTGGGGCAGGGGCAGGGCTGAGCAAGTGGCAGGAGGGCCGGTGGCTATCAGCCCACCATCACTTCTGTGCTCCTCTTCAATGAAAGGCAATCAGCAGTCTGAGCCATACTGGAAAAAATGGAGTTATTAATTTGTTCCCAAGGCACTCTACTGTTTAGTTTTCAGCCTATTTGGCTCATCATCTTCCATGCTGAAACATTTCTCTCACATATAATGGCCCCCCCACCAGTTCCCTCCTCTAGTGTTTAAATAATTAGTGCAAGAAATAAGCTAAACTGTGGACAGATATGTCAGTTTTAGAACAGTTCTCTGTGAGGTGTGGTCAAAGATCCATAGGAGGGGAAGGGTGAGGGGACTGTATAGACACACAGCCAATCTTAGCAGCTGGTGGTGTGGCTGTGGTGCTGGGACTCGGGAGCGCAGGTTGAACTTGAGAATATTCACTAGTGTGTCTCTCCAGGGGAAGTGGAAGGAGGTAAACATGAGAGAACTACTTCCCTCTACCTAACGGGGTATTCTTGGAAAGTTTTGTAAACCAGATTCCTAGGATTCAACATACTTTATTTTCCTTTTAATTCGTATTCAAGGATATGCCTACATATCTCCCTGAAATCTAAGGGTGATACATATGCCATAGCTGAAAGTAGCAAGAAGCCACTATGCAAGCTAAGATCCCAGAAAACTGCTGTTTTAAAGGTATTCTTCAGTCCACCTAGTGAGAAAGAGTACAAAATGTTTTGGTAATGGCATTTGTGTGGATGCAGGAGGCAGGTGCTAGAAGCCTCTACACAGCTAAGACTGGAATCAACACTCTGGCATCAGGGCGTAGGTAGTCAGTCAACAGGGCAGCATCTAGCATTTCCAAACTTAGCACAGAGCCATTGCACAGGGAACCCAGATGCCAGCTGGGGTTCTAGGACATAGGCTCTTGCACAGCTTGTTGCTAGGTGCCATCGAGTCATTTCCGACTCACAGCTACCCTACAGGATGGGGCAGAAATGCCCACAGGCTTTTCTAGAATGTTATCCTTATGAAGCAGATCACCGGGTCTTTCTCTCACAGAGCTGCTGGTGGGTTCAAACGACTGATTGGCAGTCAAGCGCTTAACCATTGCACCCCCAGGGCTCCTAGTCTTAGACAGCATGGATCAAGAAAAATGTAGTTCAGCTCCCTAAGGGCACAGGAACTGGTCTGAAAGGCAGGAATGAGTTAGCAAACTGCTCCCAAAGAAACACCACCTGTGGCAGCAATCAAATTCAGAAGTTGAGAGTGAGGTTGGCCTAGGCTGGGTGTGGTAATGATCGATGCCTGGAGGTCTTCAAGAGATGGCTCAGCCATCTGTATTTCAAATTGAGTCTTTTCATTTTCTTCTTTTGCAATATATGTTGCAGTAAGGTTCTACTTACCTATCCCTGGAGAAAATTCTCAACTCATGTCGAACAGCTTGATTTTCTATACCTTATTTGTTGTCTGTGTCTGAAAATGCTAACTAGCTAGTGCAAAGATGCCTGCTTTCCCTCAGTGTCTGTGCATATGCTCAGAGTTAACTGCAAGACAGCAACACACAGAGCTCACTGATGCTTAGAAGGGTCCGGATGAAATATATGAGGGCTGCATGACAATGAGTATGGAAACAAGGCATAACCTTGCAGCTTCCAACCACACACCAACTCCAGGATTCTGGCTAATAAAATTCCTGTCTAGAGGAAACCTTATGCCTCAATAACTGTATTTGAAAATTTTCAGACATGCGTCAGCATAACTTGGGATTTCCTCTTTGCAGCATTAACATCCTACTGGGTCGCTAAGAGTAGGAATTGACTCAATGGCAGTGGGTTTGGTCTTTGCTCAGGCACTATACAGCAGATTCCCATGATCTACCTCCATCACTCAGCCCATGCGCAAGCCTTGGATGAATAAGAACCTTAGAAACTAGTGTTTAATTCACAGAGCAGTGGTGAGGTTGTGTGTGTATTTTTTCTTATCTAAAAATGGAGTGAAGAATCTGGTTACATAGTTAACTTTCTCATGGATGCTACCTATTCACCTGCCTTTGTGCCCTCTGTGAGTAGGGAAGGAAAGCCACTGCTGTTCTCTCAGTCCACTAGAGCTGGACAAGGTCCCAAACTGCCTTCTGGAACACAGAAACCCGGCTTTCCCACTCTCTCTGCCTTGCCTTCCTCCATGTGCAGCTGACATCTACACTAAATGCCAGCAACATTTAGAGATACAAGTGCCACCCAGCATCTATAAGCTGAGAGGTTGTGGGCTTTGTGGGAATGTGCACCTATCTTACAAAGAACAAGGAAAGCAGGGCCAGAAACTTCTCCTGGCTTCCTCATTGTCTAAGATAAAAACAACAACAAAACCTCACTGCTGTAGGGTCAATTTGACTCATAGCGATCCCTCCTGGGGTTTCTGAGGTGGCATCTCTACAGAAGTAGATTGCCCAACCTTCTTGATACACTGAGGCTACAAACACCACAATCAGGTCCTTCCAAAGTAGAGCACTGTATTGACCCCAATCTGCCAAATTTAGCTCTGTGGCAATACCCATCCACAGGGGGCTATTTTATCCTGGCAGAACTCCTACTTTCTGTTACTTAATTCTTGCCTGATTCAACTCAATCGCTTCTTCTTCTACAGCTGAATGACCCATTCTTTGGCTTCATGGTCTTTCCTCAGTTTTGTGGTGGTTGTCATAATATGGTGGTGGATTTCTCTGGGTTAAATTACATTGAGAATAATAAAAGCCCATCTAGTTATGTGGAAAAGCTTAAGGGCTATAAAAAGAAAACTTAAAAATTTTTTTTTTTTCCATTTTGTACTTAGAGGAAATCTGTAAACTTTTATCCACCACTGGAGATTGGGGGCACCAATTTTGGGAAAAACATTACAATTTACTCTGAAAGATAACCTCACTGCCATCAAGTCAATTCTGACTCATAGCAAGCTATGAACTACCCCATTGGGTTTCCAAGATTGTAATCGTTATGGAAGCACACTGCCACATCATTCACCCATAGGGTGGCTGGTGGGTTAGGTGACTTTTTTGGTTAGTAGCCAAACACTTTAACCACTATGCTACCAGGGCTCCTTTCGAAAGACAAAGTGGTTGGGAAAGCCAATTCCACCCTCTAGAGTTTGTTAATTCATGATGGTTATAACTCAGTGGCTAATCATATGAGAGTCATGTTTCTGTAACCCAAAATAGTTTCTAGACTAGAAAGAGTTGGAAGTAAATTAGACATTCTTGTTGGTGGAGGTGTTGATCCCACCATGTCTGGAAATCTGGAGCGTGAGAAGGGGCCCCTGTGGGGTGTTTCAGTATCACTGCACCGAGACAGACCTCTGCCAAGGCTGTAGACAGGGCTTTTGGTTCTCTTCACATGCCACATGCTGTGAGCCCTGGGGGCAGGCAGAGGTATGTTCTGGAGTGGTTCCAATCATCTTTCACATTTGCTATCAGCCAGCTAGTGCCTAGGTGCCAGGGCATCCACAAAAGCACAGATAGATCATGATTTTGCTGGTGGATTTGGGGAGGAGCATGTCCTAGGAAAGGAGGCCTGGTGGCACAGTGATTAGAGTACTTAGTTGTTAACCAGAGGTCAGTAGTTCAAACTCACCAGCTGTTCTGTGGCAGAAAAATGTGGCAGTCTGATTCCATAAAGATTATGCTTTGGAAACCCTATGGGGCAGTTCTACTCTGTCCTATGGAGTCACTATGAGTCACAATTCACTGGATGGCAAAGGGTTTAGTATTTTTTGGTTTAGATCCTAGGAGAAGAACAAGATTAAGATAAAGGGGGAAGAAGAGATAAAGGAGGAGAAGGGAGAAACCAAAAACTAAATGAGTTCTTTCTTTTAGTTGGGGAGCAACCAGTATTCATAAGGCTATTTTCCACGAAAAACTGTGCTCTAAGTTTCAAATAATAAAGTTGGATATTTTCTACATGAAACCAAGTCCCCCAAAGAAGAAAATATTAAGCAAGAATTCAAGGGAGCTAGAAGTGTTTGCTTTTAAGATATATACATAGAATTTTCTACCAAAATACAGCTGAATTAAGTTTGTTTGCTTGTTTGTAGTCAGGATGGGACACCCAGAGATATCCTAATATCACAATTTATTCTCGATTGGCTGACCACTTCAGGAAGACCAGTGTTACAGAGCACATTAAAAAAGACAAGTATGATAGGAAATAGGACAATAGCTGCTTCTACCTCCATGCTAGTATTAGGGTCAAGATCATCACACTCAGACTCCTCGGAACTGTTCGTCTCCTTGATTGGCAGCATGAGGAAGGGGGAAGAAAGAGAACACAGTTAGAACATAAGTAGCTTTGGCCAGAGAGAGAGAGGAGAACTTCAGAGAAGCATGGGTAATGGGAAATTGGGCAGAGAAAAAAAGAGATGCTTTTAAGGTGGGCTTGTGGATCACTAAGGGCAGCCAACATGCTCTTTTCAAGGAGTGAAGGCTGAAATCATGTACAACTGTTTATCTCACAGGAGACAGAAATGGAGACAACCAAATGAAGCATGAGGGCTGCAGAATTGAAATTGTTGTCTTCTGTGAGACTGGACTTCTCAGATGAGAGTGAAAGAGTGAATATGATTTCTTTTCCCCAAGGAGGATGTTAGAATGAGTTTCAGTTGTTCTTATTTTGCTGAGGAAGGGGAAAAAAGTGCCATGCAGATAATTATAGATTTCAACAAAATTAAATGTCAGCAATCTAATTTCCATTGTCCAAAGGCAGATCTTTTCAGAGGGCCCAACTTAAAGAAAGACTGTATCATTTTAAAATGATGGGAAATGTGGGTCTGTCAGAACTTGGTATTAGTGAGTTCAAATTAATAGATGAATCTTTAGAAAGAATTAACTTGGGTTTAATCAGTATGCCTCCATTCCCTGTCAATGAATAGGGACAGGCAAGGAAATGGCCCAAGCTGATTTTGTCTGCATTCTGGGGAAAAGAAATGAAACTTTATCAAGGACACAGAAGCCCTTAAATTCCAAACCTCAGCCCTCATGAGTTGGGGTTTGGAAGGCATGCCTAATCCCTTTAATCTTCATGTATTCTCAAAACTAGAGTACAGAATGGGCAGCTTTGAGAAATTTAGTACAAATCAAGCATCTTACATTTGTAAGGGAATGATGCTGCAGATAATTTTGCTATAAAACAGCTGCACAGTATAAAAAGAAAGGTATAAAAGGAAAAAGAGATGTACTTACTTGGGTTGAAGTTGCCAGGAGAAATAAAAAATTTAAAAAAAAATTGATCTTGCATGCAAAATCCTGCTAAACTACTTCCCCTCCGGTTCCCACACTGGTCACGAAAAAAAAAAAATCCCCTCCATCCAAATTGTCTTGTGAGAATGCTGCAGGGTGGGAGGAGATGAGATGTGGGGACACAGCTCTTGAGTACCTTACTCACTTTAACAGAGACTTTGTTGCCCAGAATATCCTTGGGTTTACGAGGCCCTGTGGCTTCATTTTTACCCGTGTTCTCCACTTCTGCCCGCTTTCTCATGCGTAGGGTATGCCATGAACATGACTTCCTGTTGTACCAAAAAATGCACCAATCAAAATGGCAGGTCAGGGCAGAATGAGGTGCTGGGAAGGCTCACCACCCTTGGGTGAGTCAGTAGGTGAGGTGCTCGTCAAGCCCAAGCTTCAGAGACCTGAAACCTGCATGCCGAGGACACCTATGGCAGCTGACCTCACCTCCAACTGAAGTAAGCAAGGATGAGCTCTGATGCCTCCTGCTTTACATATGCAAGGTTGAGTGGCTACAGTTGAAGGCAATGTGAGTACTCTGGTTACTAAACTTCACCAAGGGAGGTTTACTGATGAGGCTTATGTTGTTGTTGTTAGTACCATGGAGTTGGACCGACTCATAGTGACCCCTCCTTGGGTTTTTGAGGCAGTATCACTACGGAAGTAGATTGCCCAACCTTCCTTCTGAGATGAGAATTATAGGACTGAGGAATTCCCCTCTTGAAGGGTATGGAGAGGATGAGGGGCTGGGCAGGAGGTGAGGAAGCAAGAGCAGTGAATAGGAGACAAAGGTGGCATATTCTACAATATGAGTTTCAGTTGTTCTTATTTTGCTGAGGAAGTTATATATATAAGAATATATTCTACACACCTTCCCAGGACAGGATGTAAAGACCCAAAAGGATGACTTAGGCGTTCTCATCTTACTATTCATATTGGGACTGTGGCCACTCCCAGACACTGTAGAACTATTCTGGGGTATTTGACTCAAAAAGCAGTTAAGCACTACTCATTTATCTGGATATTTTAGAGTGAATGGTTTGTTCTTAAAGTCTTTGTTTTCTACATCACTCAGTTTGTGAATGTATGGCTGTCAGCCACTGAGAAGTCCTAGATAGAGTTTTCCTGCTGGGAAACCCATGAAGGTGAGAGCAGCCACACTCTGTCATCTCATCCTAACTTCTTTCTTCTAGGGGAGGGGCGGGTAGGAGCTACTTCTTCACAGACCTGTAAAGAGAAGCTTCCCTCATTATGTTAGGACCCAAAGAGAAAGAAACCACAAGCCAAGTCACACTGTTGTCAATCAGTGACCCTGGGCAGTCACCATCCATTTCCAGTGTAGTCATACAGTTTGGACGAAGTAACCATTGTCTGGAATAAGTGAGACTTGGCTTCTCTCTTCAGTGTCTTCTTGTTAAATTTAGGCTTATGCAGACAGGGCTCCATTGGGGGGAGGGGGCTCAGGGGAGTCCTTCATTAAGGGAGACCAGGCATATAAGATTTAGGAGGAAGGAGAATACTCCAAAATGTATAGGCTCCCCCCCCCCCCACAAAACCCTACACTTTTCAGGATTAGGATGTCCTAGGAAGGTGTTCCAAAAATAATTATCACTAACACATTTGCTCAACAATTAACCTTCTGAGTAGGAAAAAGCAGTTGCAATCATGTTCTTGAATCTTGTGGGAAAATAGTTTCCTTCAAAAGGCAAGACTTTCTTGTATAGACCTCGTCTTTTACCTCCTAAATCTGCAGGTTTTCTAGGACCCCCTGCATCCCAGCTCCTTGCTCCAATTGTCATATCTGAGTGAGAACCAGTTACGGAAGTTAAATTCACAAAGGTATAACTGTTTACATCAGACCTTCATCTCATATCTTTATGTAAAAAAGGCCCTGGATCCTTCTGAGAACATCTGAAGTCAAGGAAGTCCCTGCTCCCAAGGCAAAAAGCACGTGTGTGTGTGCACGTGTGCGTGTGTGTGTGTGTTCATATGTTTATTACATCCTTCTGGATTATTTGGTATGCCTGGTGAGAAACTGTTGTTTTTGTTGTTATGTGCCGCCAAGTGGGACCCGACTCATAGAGACCTTTCCTTGGGTTTCCGAGGCAGTATCACTATGGAATTAGATTGCCCAACCTTCCTTCCGAGGAGTGGCTGGTGGGTTTGAACCGCCAGCTACCAGAGCTCCTGGTGAGAAACTAAAAATGTTAAAAATAATGTTCAAAAGGAATAAACAGAGTAGGACAAGTGGCAGGACAGGCTTAATTTCATATTCTTCTTCCCAGAAGAACTTGTCATCATGGTTTGGGGAGCTTCCATCTCTTGGCCACGGCCTTGGGACTGATGTGGAAACAGAGTTTCAATGACATTTATCCTGTAGGCATCACAACCAACTCTGACTTCTTTGGTCACAGCAGGTCCTGGAGTGTGTGGCGAGTGTCCTTCACTTGTAAATACTGACACCAATTTGAATCATTTACTCACCTCTGTCCCCACTCACCTTGGTGCAAGAGCAACTAAGGTGCCAAAATGACCAATTTGCATTTGAATCTGTTTTCTTTCACCCAGGCTGACACCCCTCCCTCCTTCCCTCCCTTCTGGAAGGTATGAGTAGGTGACAAAAGACCCAAGGATGAGAAGGAAGAAGTGCTGAATGCCTGAATAACTAGCTCAGAATCACTAGGACTTGACTCTTTAAGGCCATTGATTAATAAGAAGGCCTTTATTCCCAAGGCCTGGGGCTTCTTAAAAGGCACCCCAAATCCCCAAACAAGTATCTTTAGAATAAAATGAGTTGGGCCTATTGTACCCTAGGGGCCACTAGTGATTTCCAGTTGGGCTTATGGTTACCTAGAGAGGCCAGGGTGATGCCAGGTAGGCTCCATTCCCTTGACCTAGAGAAAGGGTCAAAGAAGCACAGTTCCATTGGTGCCACTGCTCTGATGTGTCACAGGAGCTCCTTACACCCTTTCCCATGTGTGACCACACAGCCTGGAAAACAGTGCCAAACACTGCCTCTAGTCTACTCATTAATTTACATCAGCACCTCAAGGTTGCCCAGTTGCTGGGAACCAGCTGGACAGCATCCAATCTACATCATTCCTCATCTCAGAGGTTAGAAAAAACAAATAGGGCCTGTTTAGAAGAGAATGCTAAGATTAGAGCTTTGGTGACACAGGTGCTTTTTGTGTATGAAGAAACTGACAATGCGTTCAATGAAGTCCTAAAATAGGGGGGGGGGGGTGTCATTTGCACATTTAAAAGCCCAAGGAAGAGTGAAATGGGGGAAAAAGGGTCAACTAGACTTCAACCTCATTAAAACATGCTCATGGTGAAAATTTATTTTACATATTTAAAATAGTACATTTAAAATGATTAGTTACATTACAGGTACAATGATGAACATTGTGACTCTTCATTATATTGCACAGCCTGACTTCATCCATATGGTTGTCTTTAAATAGCGCAAAATACTTTATACAGGAATGTGTTCAGAAGGGTCTTTGCAATCAAAATAAGAAAAAGAAATATTTTACAAATTTCCATGACCATATATTAAAGTGACAGGGGAAGGGGAAATTTTTTTTTTTAAAAAAGTTACAATCTGTACAGAGAAATTGCCACAGACAACCAAAAATTCCCCTCTCTCTTGGGAGAAAGCAGCAGGCCCCTGACCTGTGTAGGTCTGGCATTTGTGCTAAGGCAATTTTTTGGTGTCAATAAATATATATATATATATATATATATATTTATATTTATATATATATATATATCAGTAACTTAATACAACATAAATAGAAGTCCAGTCCAGTGAGTCCTGTGGTGGGTCACATGGAGCAACAGAAGGCATGTCTTTTGTCACCTAGAGTTTCAGTAGGGTTCTTTGCTTAACGAGTGGGGGCGGGAAAAGAAAAAAATGAAAAGAAAATCATAAATGAAGAGGAAAGGAAAGCCACCACCATCACCAGCACCACCACCACCGACAAGAACAGAAAAATCAAGACAATCCCACCTGGATGCCCCCTGCCGCGGGAGGTTCCAGTGTTCAAACACTCATTCCCATGGCACTGTCGAGAATAAGCAGCAGTAATTCCCTACTGTGTGTTTGCATTTTGTATTCTCTTTTCGTTTTTGACTATTTTAAATCCACCTACTCCTCTCCCAGGGAAGCCAACCAGGCACTTACTTGATGCTCCCGTCACTATTTTCTGCTGCCACCGTGGCTTTGGTGAGGGGTGCCAGGATGCTGCCTGGGACCCAGCCCTCAGCTGCAGGGGAGTGGTCACTGGCAGGCTGGTACACTAGGCACATGTTCTGCTGGTTGACGGCGAGGACCTGGACCACCTCACCTTGGCTCACACAAATTTCATTCTCCTTCAGTGCATAGTAATCTTTAATCACAGCCATGGATGAGGTCCCGTTGCAGCCTCCTGGGTCATTTTGCTAGGAGATGAGAGCAAAAGGGACACAAAAACAAGAAGGCTAGTTTATGTGGACTTTCTCTGCATCCAATTGCCTGGTTAAAAGGCAAACTTCCCACTAACCTGTGCCCATTGAGTCAATTCCGGTTCATGTCAGCCCTACAGGACAGAATTAAAACTGCCCCATAGCGTTTCCAAGAACTAACAGATCTGTCCTGGAGGAAGTGCAGCCAGAATGCTCCTTGGAAGCAAGAATGGCCAGACTTCATCTCACCTATTTTGGTCATGTTGTAAGAAGGGACCATTCCCTGGAGAAGGATGTCATGCTTGGTAGGGTGGAGGGTCAATGAAAGAGGGGGAGGCCTTCAACGAGATGGATTGACACGGTGGCTGCAATGATGGGCTCAAGTATAGCAGGGATTGTGGGGCTGGCACGGGATTGGGCAGTGTTTTGTTCTGCTGTGCATGGGGTCACTATGAGTCAGAAACAACTTGACAGCACTTAACAACAACATATCTTTACAGAAGCAGACTGCCATATCTTTCACCTGTGAAGAAGCTGGTGGGTTTGAACTGCCGACCTCTTGGTTAGCAGCTGAGTGCTAAACTACTGCTCTCCTTAACCTCCCACTAGCAGGGTAAACAAAAACCAGTTGCTATTGAGTCAATTTCAACTCATGGTGACCCCATGTTTGTCAGAGTGGAATTGTGGTCCATAGGGCTTTCAATGGCTGATTTTTTGGAAGTAATCACCAGGCTCTCTGGGTAGGCTTGAACCTCTGATGTTTAGTTAGCAACTGAGCATGATAATTTGTTTGTACCACCCTTAGACTCCAGCAGGGTAAATAGCAGGCAGAGTATAATTCTGAGTAATAAAATTATACTCATAAAACTGCTCTGAAAATGTATTTTATTATCAAGCTACCAGCTGAAGGTATACAACACATTCTTCCACCCTGAAGCCCCTCCCCAGCATGCAGCCTTCCTGCCATGGAGAGTGTGGCACTAGCACAGAGATATGTAAGCATGCTGGCAGAGTGAGGTCAAGACAAAGACCAGGGGTCACAGTCCCCCAACATAGAGAACACAGATCCTTTGAAACTAGATTTTCCTTTCTTTTTGAAATAGAACTGGCCTTATTCTACATTCTGACCCTCCTTGAGATGAGGACACTTGCCCAATTCAAAGGCAAGGCCGTGACCTACCCTGACCCAACTCCCTGTGGGAATAGAACTTCCCCAGTCCTTCTCTAAGGAGCTCTGGTGGCACAGTGCCTAAGACATCTAACTACTAACAAGAAAGTTGGTGGTTCAAACCCACCAGCCACTCTGCAGAAGGAAGATGAGGCAATCTACTTCCATAAAGACTTACCACCTTGGAAACTCAATGGAGTTTCTATGAGTTGAAATTGACCTGATGGCAGTGGGTTTGGTTTTTGGTTTAGTCCTTCTCTGCACTCATTAATATGAGAAGTGCTGCCTCTGTAGCTTTTTCATATGTGTGCACACCAGGACAACTGCTTCTAATCATGACTTATAGTTCCCAGGTCATGGAGAGCCAGATAGTCTTCAACATGTGTGGCAACATGCCAATGTGGCTTCAGCTTATTCACAAGGGCAGGGTATTTTTAAGATTAAAAAAACCCATCATTTCCAGATGATGTGATGAAATAGGGGGGTTATTCTAATATAGAATTGAATTTAGGCATTAATAATTCATTATAACAAAATCAATGGCAAAAATGGAAAGAGAAAAAAAAAAGAGTATAACTATAACATTAGAATATGTAGGTAAAAAATGTAGATGTTCCTATTCAGAGACCCATGGAGTTCTGGAGGAAACTAAAGCCTAATGAAATTAACTAATTTGCTAATTATAGAACAAGTGAGTTACAGAATTTGGAATAGAAACCAGATTGTCTTATTTTTAATCTATCACTTTCTTCATTATTTTCTTGTTCCTACTACCTTGTAGAGTCAAAATAGCTGTGTAGTCTAGGTCTATGGTCAAGTTTACAGCTATCCTCAAGGTGATGTTTGAACTGTGGATCATCTGTGATAAAAGTTTAATCCAAAGCTGGCTTTCCCCACTCACACATTGATGAGGTCCTTCCCCTTCCACATCAGCCAATGGATGGTGAAGACCTGTGAGCTCACTTCAGTAGGCACAGATCATTATCAGGGCCATTTCTTCTTAAGACAAATGAAATCTAGAGTTATGCCTTTCAGACGACCCACACCATAACTACTTCAACCAAACCCAACCCTCTGCTATCAAGTCGATTCTGACTCACAGCAAACCCCACTGGGTTTTCAAGGTGGTAAATCTTTACAGAAGTAGATTGCCCTGTTTTCCTTCCATGGAGTGGCTTGTGGGTTTGAACTGCCAAACTTCTAGCTAGTAGTCAAATGCCTTAGGCACTGTACCACCAGAACTCCTTATAAACTACTCTATTTGGTATTAATTACTCATTTTCATAAATGCTTCCACAATAACTTCTTACAGTTGTATGGAGTTTCTGCAAATGACAATAGCCTTTTAACCAAAAGTGTCAGAACCAGAGAGAACTGGTTTAACTTACTCAATTTACAGAGGGAGACAGAGAAATAATTGACACTATACTGTATTTAGGAGCTCTGCTGGCATAGTGCCTAAGGCATTTGACTGCTAACAAGAAGGCTGGCAGTTCAAACCCACCAGCCACTCCTCAGAAGGAAGGAAGGTTGGGCAATCTACTTATGTAATGATACCACCTCAGAAACCCAAGGAGGGGTCGCTATGAGTCAGATCCAACTTCATGGCAATGAGTTGTTTTTTGTTTTGTTCTGTTTTATATTGTATTTAGTAAGCTGTTCCAACTAAAATAATCAGCATCAAAAGATGCCACTTCCTAAAGTGAACTCTGAGGCTGTGCCCTCGGGGTGGTGAGGCTGGGAATAATGGGTTGTCACTTACCTTGCTGGTCTCATACTTGTCACCAGGCTGGTGGTAGTCAAACCCTGGACTGCCATTGGAGGTAGATATCTTCAGGGGTGGCAGAGGTGGGTTATAGCTAGAGCCCTTTGGTGGCTTTTCAGAGCCCACAGGGACAGAGGAGTAAGGCCTGGGGCTAGCTTGGGGAGCCCTAGTGGGCTGGGACCTCATCACAGCTGTGCTCCGTTCTTTCCGCTGATATTCAATGGGCGACTGTAGTGCTACAGGATAAGAGCAGAGGGTTACTCTAAGCTTTGGGAATTCCACAAGAACATGGGGGCCTATGAGGTACAAGGCTTGCGTCAGGCATTACTTCTATTTTTAAGGAGCTTATAATGTACAGTGAGAACTAAGACATCTACTTCAATAGTGAAAATACAAAAAGAAACAAAAAACAATGCCATATGTGAGGGACAAAGTGCACAAAAGGTGAGAGAGAGGACTCTGTAGTATGCATGGGTACGTGTGCATGGGTGGTGGGGGTGGTAATAATAAAGAGCTTCAGAGGGGGGCTGGTTGTCAGATGACATTTGTACTCTACAGGAATCATGAAGCATGTTTGGGGAACAGGATGTAGTCAGATTACCTGGGGCAGAGGGCCATGGGTCTCCATGGAGAAAGATAAAATAAGACAGATAAGGGAGGTTAGAGGTGCTGTGGTGTGAAAGATCTAGAAAGGCAGGCTAATGTGTTTGGATTTAATTCCGTAGACAATGAAAGGTGATATGTTAAATGAACTTTAAAGCTTTTTTATATTTAAATTCTATAACCAGGGCCATGCTTGAGGAAAATGAAGCTTGCAGAAGTTAGAAGGAAAAATGGGATAGGAAGAGGCAAAAGATAAGAGGCTAAGTCATATGCCATGAGATAGTAACGAGCAAAAGGCAGACATACAGCAGAGCTGGAAGGAATGTGGAATGGGTGTGGGTGTGACGAGTATTTTAGAGCTAGACTTCACAGGACTTTAACATAGCCAGGGTAGGGAAAGCAAGGCAAGAATCAAAGATCACTCAGGTTTTGAGACTGGGAGAACAACAGTCCGTGATACTCAACAGACAAGAAAAGGTTGATTTGAAGGGGCAGATGTGAGCTCTGTTTCACTGAATTTAAGATATCAAAGTTCAAAGATCTGAGTATTAAAGAGGTGCAGCCAGGCAAAAAGCCATACAGGTCAAATTCTGTAATAATGCCTTTAAGAGATGGCCTCATTATGTCATTTTTATCAGTATCCACTGTAGCCACTAGTTAAGTGGGTTAACAGTTGGGGACCAGAAAACTTTCAATTACAAGGCTATTTCTACAGTGACTGGTAAGTGTTAACGTAGGGTCAAACTTCCTTTCTCTGTGAGGTATCAGAGGAAAAGATTGGCTCTGAGATACCCGCAAATGTCTATATAAAAGCCTGGCACTGATCCACCATCACATCCTTGTCTCGAGTGTGTCAAATTATGTAACAGGCTCCTGCCAGAGCTCAGCCTTCCACCCTGGAAAGTGTTCTGTGGGCATTAAATATTTAGGTAATGATAACCTGTTGTTGTTGGTGTTATGTGCCGTTGAGTCATTTCAGACTCATAGCGACCCTATGCACAGCAGAACGAAACACCGCCTGGTCCCGTGCCAGCTCCGTGATCCCTGCTATACTTGAACCTATCGCCACTGCCACCGTGTCAATCCATCTCGTTGAAGGCCTTCCCCTCTTTGGTTGACCCTCCACCTTACCAAGCATGACATCTTTCTCCAGGGAATGGTTCCTTCTAACGACATGACCAAAATAGGTGAGATGAAGTCTGGCCATTCTCGTGTCCAAGGGGCATTCTGGTTGCACTTCCTCCAGGAAGATTTGTTAGTTCTTTTAGCAATCCATGGTATGTTCAGCATTCTTTACCAGCACCACAACTCAAAAGCATCAATTCTTTGCTCTTCCTTATTCACTGTCCAGCTCTCACATGCAGAGGAGGTGACTGAAAATATCATGGCTTATGTCAGGCACACTTTAGTCTTCAAGGAGACACCTTTGCTCCTTAGCACCTGAAAGAAGTCCTTTGCAACCAATTTGCCCAGTGCTATACATCATCTGTATGACTGCTGCTTCCATTGGCACCAATTGTAGAATCAAGCAATGTGAAGTCTTTGACAACTTCAATCTTTTCTCCATTTATCATGATGCTGCTTATAGGTTTAGTTGTGAGGATTTTTGTTTCCTTTATATTGAGATGTAATCCATATTGCAGACTGTAGTCTTCAGTCTTCATCAGTAAGTGCTTCAAGTCATCCTCACTTTCAGCAAGCAAAGTTGTGTCATCACCTATTGCAGGTTGTTAATGATTCTTCCTCCAATCCTGATGCCACGTTCTTCTTCATATAGTCCAGCTCCTGGGATTATTTTCTCAGCATATAGATTGAATAAGTATGGGGAAAGAATAAAATCCTGATACATTCCCTTCTTGATTTCAAACCATGCATTGTTCCCTTGTTCTATTTGAACAACAGCCTCCTGGTCTATGTACAAGTTCCTCATGAGTACAATTAAGTGTTTTGGAATTCCCATTCTTCTCAATGTTATCCACAATTTGTTATGATCCACATAACCAAATGCTTTTGCATAGTCAATAAAACACAAGTAAACATCTTGTTGGTATTCTTTGCTTTCAGCCAAGATCCACTGGACTTCCTCAATGACATCCCTTGTTCCATGTCTTTTTCTGAATCTAGCTTGCACCTTTAGAAGCTCTCTATCAATATACTGCTGCAACCATTTTTGAATTATCTTCAGTAAGATTTTACTTGTGTGTAGTATTATGATATTGTTTGATAATTTCCACATTCTGTGGGATCACTTTTCTTTGGAATGGGTACAAATATGGATCTCTTCTAGTCAGTTGGCCAGGTAGCTGTCTTCCAAATCTCTTGGCATAACTGAATGAGCGCCTCCAGCACAGCATCCATTTGTTGAAACATCTCAATGGGTATCCGTCAATTCCTGGGGCTTTGTTCTCTGGCAATTCCCTTCAGTGCAGTTTCGACTTCTTCCTTCAGTATCACTGGTTCTTGATCACATGCCACCTGTTGAAATGGATGAAGATTGACCAGTTCTTTTTGGTACAGTGACTCTGTGTATTCCTTCCATCTTCTTTTGATGCTTCCTGCATCATTCAATAATTTGCCCATAGAATCCTTCCATATTGAAACTTGAGACTTAATTTTTTTCCTCAGTTCTTTCAGCTTGAGAAATGCTGAGCATGTTCTTCATTTTGGTTTTCTAACTCCAGGTCTTTGCACATTTCATTATAGTAATTGGCTTTGTCTGCTTGGGCTGCTCTTTGAAATCTTCTGTTCAGCTCTTTTATCTTGTCATTTCTTCCATTTGCTTTAGCTACTCTCCACTCAAGGACAAGTTTCAGAGTCTCTTCTGACATCCATTTTGGTCTTTTGTTCCTTTCTTATCTTTTCAATGACCTCTCACTGTCTTCATGGATGATATTCTTGATGTCATCCCACAATTCTTCTGGTTTTCGGTCATTGGTGTTCAACGCATAAAATCCTTTAGGTGGTCTCTAAATTCAGGAGGGATGTATTCAAGATCATATTTTGGTTCAAGTGGACTTATTTTAATTGTCTTTAACTTTAAGTTGAACTTGCATATGAGCAGTTGATGGTCTGTTCCACAATCAGCTCCTGGCCTTGTTTTGGCTAAAGATATTGAGCTTTTCCATCACCTCTTGCCACAGATCTAGTCAATCTGATTCCTGTGTATTCCATCTGGTGAAGTCCATGTGTATAGCCACTGTTTGTGTTGTTGAAAAAATGTATTTGCAATGAGTAAGTTGTTGGTCTTGCAAAATTCTATCATGTGATCTCCAGCATTATTTCTGTCACCAAGGTCAACTTTTCCAACTACTGGTGATTCTTCTTTGTTTCCCATTTTTGCATTCCAGTCACCAATGATAATTTACACATCTTGATTGCATGTTCAGTCAATTTCAGAGTGCAGAAGTTGATAAAAATCTTTAATTTCCTCATCGTTTGCTTTGGTTGTTGGTGCATAAAGTTGAATAATAGTCATATTAACTGGTTTTCCTTGTAGGTGTATGGATATTATCCTATCACTGACAGTATTGTACTTCAGGACAGATCTTGAAATATCCTTTGTGATGATGAATGACATGCCATTCTTCTTCAAATTGTCACTCCTGGCATAGTAGATCATATGGTTGTCTCATTCAAAATGGCCATTTCAGCTCACTAATGCCTAGGATATCAATCTTTATGTGTTCCATTTCATTTTTTAAAAAATTTTGATTTGGGTGAAAGTTTACAGAGCAAATTTACTTTCCACACAGCAGATCACATGCACTTTGTCTCATGACATTGACTACAATTTGTCCCCTCCCACTTCTTCCCCAAGTTACTTCTTCCCTGTGTCCTTCCCTCCATGCACTCCTGCCCCCTGAACTATATCCCTGTGCATATACAGCCCTTCTATTCTCCCAGGATTGTTCCCTCCAAGGAGTGTATCTACCTAGTGTAAATGTTCACCTCATATGCCTGTCTTTTGTTTGGCTGGAAGCCACAGGATTGAGTTCAATTCCAGACCTGAAGGGCAGCTAGGGGGCATAGTTTCAGTGGTTCCATCAGGCTCCACCAGACTAGCAAACCTGGTTCCGCCCCCCCCCCTTTTTTTTTCCAAATGATTTTGAGTTTTGTTGCACATTGTTCTCCCACTCTATCCAGGATCTCCTACATAGATCACTCTTCAAGGGTTGACAGTGGTAGCCAGGCACCATCTAGTTCTTCTGGTCTCACAGTCAAATAGGCTGACATGTTCCATTTCATGTTTGACAACTTCCAATTTTCCTAGATTCATACTTCATACATTCCATGTTCTGATTATTAATGGATGTTTGCAGCCGTTTCTCCTCAATTTGAGTCATGTCACATCAGCAAATGGAGGTCTTGAAAGTTTTACTTTATGTATATCAGTAAGGTTGGCTCTACTCTGATGATGTACCTCTTTCCCAGTTGCATTTTGAGAGGTTTCTGACCTAAGTGGCTGTCCTCCTGCACTGTATCAGACAGTGTTTCTGGGCTGTTCATATAGTTGCCTTGTAATGTAACAGACAGTGTTTCTCTGCTAGAGATAACCTAGTTCAGTAATATCACAATTAGGAGAAAGGGCTCTTAGAACCATGTGAAAGTCTGAATTGTTGACTATGCTCTGAGAAATAGTTTCAAGTTTTAAATGAATAGCAAAGAGGTGTGAAGCAGGCCTTATCAAACCTATTTTCTGAATCAATACACAAATGTAATTAGAGAACTACTTGTTTATATGCAAATAATTGAACTAAAGTGTTTGAAAATAGCATATATTCTTCCACCAACCCCAGTTTCTGTAATTAGATCTTAGGACCACCTGTGCATCAGCAATTGATAGCAATAAATGTGCATATCAGAGAGAAATGCCCAAATCAACACCTTAGCCCAACATCTCCAACAATTAGATAAAGAGCAGCAAAAAAGCCTACAGTCACCAGAAGAAAGGAAATAATAAAGATTCGAGCAGAAATAAATGAAACAGAAAATAGAAAGACGATAGAAAAAATCCACAAGATGAGAAGTTGGTTTTTTGAAAAGGAAAGCTGTGCATCTTCTGACAGGGCTGGTTTTTGGCTGCTGGATGTGGTATCTTATAGCTGATGCCATTTTCTTCTTTGCTGGGAAGCTCACAGATGAATGTGTACCTCACCACTAGCAACTACGTTGGAGTTTTGTGGTGAAGAGCTTAATTTGAAGTCACACAGCTCTGAGTTCTAATTCTTGTTCTATCACTTTTTTTTTGACCTTGGACAAAATTTTTTAACCTCTCTGAGGTCTCCTTTTCCTCATCTGAAAAAATTGGAATGGTAATACTTATTTCTCCATGCAGAAGTGAGGATTACTGTGATAATACATGTGAAATGTATAGTGTCTGACACAGAAAAAGGACTCAGTATACAGGAGCCATTATTGTTACATTATTGTTACTTCAATTATTCCTGGTTTCAACTATTGTCCTACCTTACTTTTCTTTTATCCTGAATTCAAAACTTAAAAACCTCATTCCAGCTTAGAATCTCTCAGAAATTCCTAATTAACAAAATATAAATTCAATGAATACAGTTTATATATGCACATATTTTTGCATGAAATTATTTTATCAACAAAAACTTGATACCAAGGTTTATCATTCAAAGTTACATGTTCAGAAATAGTAAACTATGTACAACTTTCCTTATCATTCCTTGGGGCTGGGCTGCTGGTGTTTAATTTAGACATGTTAGAATGAGAAAGAGCCCTAGAGATCACTTGTCTAGTCTCTTCACCTCACTTTTCTGCAGTGTGTGTGTGGGGGGGAAGGGGGGGCGGGGAGTGAGGCATAGCCTGAAACTACTTTGTAAATGTACAATTACTTTGAAGTCTCATATTCTTTCTCAAAACCTCATGGCATCCTGCTATATAATCTACATTTTTATTTGTTTTAAAATTTAAAATAACGTGTGAAACCACTTACCATGGAGTAACATTAGTACTTAGGGAGCTATGCCATATTTTTCTGCTTCCAGTGCTACTGGAAGTACTGTCAGTGTAGAAAGGCAGATTAGCTCAAATTTTCATAAAATGAGCAATCTGAGGCCCAGAGAAATGCCCAAGGTCCTCAATTACTATGTCTCCTTTCTATCTTTCCCCTCAGCATTTAGTTTTATGCTAGACACCCAGCAAGTATTCTATTTGCATCACTTGAAAGAGTTCAGATCTCAGGATCAGAAAGATGTGGCACACCAAAGGTGGGCTAGTGTGTGTGTGTGTGTGTGTGTGTAACGTAGCCAAACAGTACAGATCTCAGGACAGGCAAGAAAAGGTGGTACATCTGAAGGTGGTCCTATGTGTGTGTGCATGTGTGTGCATATATCTATATGTATACTACAGGTCTCGGCACCGTAATGGCAAGAAGAGATGGTACAATCCCAGAGCAGTCCCGTGTGTGTGTGTGTGTGTGTGTGTGTTTACACATATAGATGTGCTTGTTGAGTCTCCAGGTTTACTTTGTTATCAGTTACATTCTTTGCCTTTCCCTGCAACTTCAAGTTCCATTTCTACTCAGACATTTTTGAACTCACCAGCCCAGCACTGAGCACTAGTTTAAAATGGTACCCTTCCTTTCACATGTCAAGCTCAATGTGGCAATCAAAGACAATCCCAGCAGAGAGAAAAAAAAGAGAAAATGTAACCAGGCGGTAACTCCACTTCACTCCAGTTCACACCATCCTTTGGGGAACTCCTGCAGGGTCCATACAGAACCACACTTCCTGTGTAATCATCAATTTGTTCTGGGAAGTTTCAAGATCTTAATGAAATTCAAAGCTAGAGATTACCTCTCATTTGAAAGGGATAAAGGTTAGCAAGGTGACTCATCTGGGCTCTGAAACTGTTGGAAGCAGAGGGAGGATTTCAGTGGGTCTGCTCAAATCCTAGTTATTTCTAGATAACACAGGAGAACCTGTGAGAGTGCCAGCCACTGCCATCCAACAGGAAAACGTGTCATTTATAGCTGGCCTCTAAGACAAAGAGTATGCACCCATCTCAGACTTTTGCCCAAATTATTAGTAGTTTGTAGTGGTGGCCACAAAGTAAATATCCTATGTTTAAGCTATAAGAGAATGTCACTTTTTTTTTTTTTTTAAAGATGGGGTTTCTTATGCCTCATCTGTTCTCAAATAATTCAGGTTTAGTAAAATTCTCAAAATGGTGTTTTGGAAAATGCAAAGTTTAAGTCCATATAAAATGTGATCAGGGCTCACAACTCAAGAGAAGCCCAGACCAAGGAAGCTGAGAGGTGTGGGGTCCCCTGAAAATGACCCTGTTAGGGAAAGGAAAGACACAGAAATGTACACAAAAGATATAGACAACAGAGGCAAATACTATTACATGCACAATACTGCATTACCACTGGCACCAAACACCAGGCTATGGGTAAATGCATAGACTGGTGGGAAGATCAGGTGGGGGACAACGAACAGGAATATATATACCCTAAACCACAGAAAGATTTGGCTGAATATAATCTTACATATGCACTTGTACTACAAAATTATTACAGAAGCAACAGAAGACAGGGTTGGGGTAGTTTCTCAGAGACAACCAAACACCTTGAGAGAGAGAATCACTGGGCCTGCGGGCTTGGGACTACAGTCTCAGGGAACATTGTGCTCAATTGGCACAACACAGTACATAAAAATCTTGTTCTATGTCCTACTTTGGTGAGTAGCAGCTGTGCTCTTAAAAGCTTTCGAGCAGCCATCTAAGATGCTACTATTGGTCTCCTCTAGTCTGGAGCAAAAAAGAGTGATGAAAATCAAAGTCATCTGGAAACAAGCAGTCCAAAGATATGAGGGACCACAAGGACATCAGCCTTCACGACTCTGAGAACAGAAGAACTAGATGGTACCCAGATACCAAGGCCAACTGCTCAGAAAGGGATCAAAACTGGAGATCCTAGACAGAGTGAGAGGAAAAATGTGGAACAAAATGCAAAAACAAAAAAAATGACCAGAATTACTGGTCTGATAGAGACTGGTAGAACCCCTGAGACTATGGCCCCAGGTTAGCCTTTGGGCCTACAAATGGACTCACTTCCATGGATTGGCTCTCAGCCAAACAGTAGAAAGACCTACATGCAGAACACCTACCCCAGGGCAATGTACCCACCTACCAACTGAGGTGGGTGCATTTGAGTGGGTGCCAATTGAGCACGATGTCCCCTAAGACTACAGCTCCGAGCCTGCAGGCTTAGTGATTCTCTCTCTCAAGGTGTTTGGTTATCTCTAAGAAGCTACTCCAACCCTGTCTTCTGTTGTTTCTGTAATGTGTGTGGGTAATTTTGTAGTATAAGTGCATATGTAAGATGCTAGAAATGCACCCCTTAGATCAACCAGCCATGAGACATCAGAGGGGCAGCATTCACATAAAGGGAGAGCTGGACAGACAGGATGCATAGATAAGAAGGGCACAGGGAGGGGTAGTCACAGGGAGGAGAGAGAGGAGAGCTTCTTATGGTTGGGAATGACAATCGAGGCCATGAAATCAAATGTGCATGAACTGTGGAATGTCAAACAAATCTGCTTTGTAAATCTGCACCCAAAACACAATTAAAAAAAAAAAAATTACCCTATTAGAAACTAGGCACAGTACGTACCATTTAAGAAGTCTCGCTGTGTTTCCAAGACTTGGTTAATGTCCTGCACCCAGGCCTGCTGGATGTCCGCATTGGCAGCTTGCAGAACGACCCTCTCTGAAGTCTCCCTGTTCAAAAGCGCAAACTTGCAGGGATCATTGTCCACATTCTCCTCCAGGACTAAATAATTCATCTGGAAGAAATCAAGTCAATCCTTTTTGTATTTATTATTATTTTTTTTAAATCAGCAAGATATTACAATTTATCAAACCTTTCATTTCAGGAGAAGTTTCCAAAAATTTGGCTTAGATCTAATAAATTAATATGTTGGATTCTGTCTTTGGGTGAATGCCCTGATCCCAGGGCACATGTAGGACCATGCCAGAGACTGACACTCATCCTTTGCTTTTTCTCCCAGATAAGCACTTTATGGAATCCTTCAACCTCCATAATCCAAGGTTATTGTGCTTGAAGACCTTCAAGGCACTGGGCCCTGCTCATTCCAGTAGCTCCCAGAACTTTGCTCTCCCTTTGCCCATTCTTATCCCCAATGGGGTCTCACCTTGATGCTTCTTTTGAACATGTAGCCTGGGGTGAGGGAACCCTTCCTGAGCAGTTCGCTGAAGATGACAATTTGCTCGAAGAGGAACACACGCCTCTCCTTGGTCCGGGACTGCATGCCCACATCCAGCTCAATCACATAGAACGTGTCCTGCTGCAAAAGCTTCCCCTGAGCAGTCAGGGTGCCCTGACGGAGAGAGGAACCGGGCAGAGTGCATGAAAACAGGGACACTGGCACAGCCCTCTCAGGCCCTAGAATCTCCTGCTTTGGAAGGAAGACAACCCTGATACCCAAAGCTTCTAGGTTCAAGTAAGAGATTGAATTAGGAGCCACTCACTCATCTAGCCATCACCTGTCTGTCAGTTTGTTGTATTGTGGTGACTTGCATGTTGCTATGGTGATAAAAGTTATGCTACCAGTATTCCAAATACAGCAGGGTCACCCATGGTGGATAGGTTTCAGTGGAGCTTCCAGATTAAGCCAGTCTTGGAAGAAAGGCCTGGTGATCTACGGCCAAAAATTAGCCAAAGGGAATTCTGAGGATCACAACAGAGTTCTGTCTGATAGAGTGCTGACAAATGAGCTCTCTCAGTTGGCAAGAGCTCAAAATACACAATCATCACAAAAAAATGGACTCAATTATACTGTGATCCATTGTGAAGATGGTGCAGGACTGGACAGTATTTTGTCTGTTGTGCATGGAGTCACCATGAGTCAGAGCTGACATGAAGGCAGCTAACAACAACAAAAGCAATTTTTTAAGGGGCTGACTATGGCCACTTTCCTGTTCATACAAGGACCCTGAAAAGAAAAGGAAAGTGGGCTGTGAAACTACTAAGAAGCAGTTCTAGGAAGATGTCAGAAGGAAGAAAGGTAGAAATTATTAGCTAAAAAGAGGTTCAGGAATTATGATCCTTCTTGATTTCTATTAAAAGGAGAACAGAAAGTAGGTGGATCTAGAAGTGGCTTTTTTGTCTTTGGATCTTTGCTTTTCTGCTCCCCTGCAATATGGGCAAGGACCTGGGCATTCACTTATCCATCAATTTATGACCCACCTGTGACCAAAGAAGTTGTGCAGGGAAGACCACCAATCATCAGGTGACTTGGGCCCCTCTCTGTTCCTTCCATTATCGTAGGCTGGAAAAATTCTATAGTCTTAGCCTCTTGTTACAGATCAACAGGTAAAGTTAGGGATACCACAGATAGGTTCCCATATTTTATAAGCTGGTAGATATTTTTTGCATCCTGTGATCTTCCTTAAAATGAGTCCTGCTACCAGGCCACCTGACACCCAGGCAAGAAGGTGGAGCCTACTTTGTTTCTAACCAGATTTTCAGAGACATCTTCACGTCTTCAAAGGGCATATGCCCCAACTCCAGCAAGTTTTCACAGATGCTACTGACGAGCCCTGCTTTTTCCACTGCTCTGCAAAAGGAAGACCCTAGCAACTGAGAGAGTGGCCAGAATGCCTCCTCTGAACCATGCTGTCTGGGAAGGGCTTTTGCCCTTAAGAGCAAATGTGCACCATTCTCTGCATATAACACCTGATTCCAAACACTACCCAGTGCTTGGGTCATTTTTCTTTCATGTTCCTGAGAAATGCCTGCCCTCTGCTTAAATCACGGCTTCTCACTGCCAAGGTAGCAGCCAACAGGCTTATCTCTACCCTGGTCTAAAGTTAATATTAAGCCAGTGACCAGCTAGCCAGGAAAGCCCTAAAAGCTCTATTGATATTGCGTAAGAGCCTGACCCCTGGGTTACAGCCCTACAGATGCTAAAGGGAAAGCCAGGCGATTTGAAAGTGAGAGGATACTAAAGGGACTCTAAGTGAGGGGCTAACTTGTCCCAGTCCAAAAGCCACAGAGTTCAGAAGGAATGGAAATACATTAATGGTTTTATCTAATTAGCTTAAGGAATATGAAGCAGATTCTCTGATGAGAAAAGGATACAGTGGCACTTGATTTAAAAGAGAAAAGAATTTCACTCTCCTATGTGTGGACTTAAGTGGACACATGCACACATGCATAAGACAGTTTCTGTGAAGGCTGACGTGAGTCTGACAGCACAATCGAACACCATTCTGCCTGCCAGCAGTCAGCTCCTTCAGAGACGGAGAAACCCAAGCAGGACTCCTGTTCAGAAAACAGGGACTTCAAAGTTTCAGGGCAAAAATGGTTTGTTCAGAATACCCTCAGAGCTGGCATAACTCCAAGGGAAAAAGTGTAAAACTTCATCTAATATGATTCCAGAAAACCTGTGTATGAGCTTAGCCAAGTAAGCCTGCTCACGCTCATGCTGCCTACCTTGGAGAACTGGGAACCTGTGAAATATAAACATAAAAATAAGAACCTCCGCACAGCTCTTGGTCACAACAAAGCAATGGAAACCAGACGGGGATACTCAGAACTGACTGGGAAGACAAGAAGGACAAGAGAGTGTGGCTCAAGAACATTGTAAAATCTGTTGCTGTTAAGTTGATTCCAATGCATAGTGACCCTATAAGACAGAATAGAATGGCCCCAAAAGGTTTCTAAAACTGTGCTCTCTATGGAAGCAGACTGCCTCCTCTTTCTCCCACAGAGCAGCTGGTGAGTTCGAACTGCAGATTTTTAGGATGGCAGCCAAGCACTTAACCATTGCACTACCTGGGCTCAAGGACATGATAAACCTAAATTTAACTATACCACCAGTCTGCCTTAGATCTCTTTTATCAAGTTTAGGTCAGCTGGGGGTGGGGGGAAGGAAAAAGCTATTACTTTCTCAATTACCTCAACTTCCAGGAACTCTTTTTCTCCAAAAAAGAATAATGAAATCTTAGGTTGCAAGATTACCAGGAAACAGGATTAGAAGATCCACATAGTTCTCTAGGGCATTCAACAGCTTCTAAGTAGCTGTCAATAACTGTGTTAGTCCTGATTTTATCATAACAATATCCAAAACAGATAATGTTTAGTTAATTGGGGAGGTTTGGATATAAGCTTATCAAAGCCACATGTTAAATCTGAATTAGAAAAGTCAATTTGCTCTTTAAAAGTTGTGGAAACCACCAGCCAAACAAAAGACAGGCATATGAGGTGAACATTAGGTAGATACACTCCTTGGAGAGAACAATCATTGGCGAATACAAGGGCTGCTTATGCACAGGGAGACAGCTTGGGGGGCAGCAGT